ATAGCAATCTGTATACGGGGTAAAAATGGGAGTTCATAACCTACTTGAATCAAACTGTAAAATATGATATATTAAGAACTATGTAATGTTTTGAACGACCAACAATTAAAAAAAAAAGAAAAAAAATACATACCATTCACTAAATATGATTCATTTGTTAACAAATAATTACTGAGTTATTTCTCTCAATTTGCTTATATTCATATCCAAATTCTTTTGTAAGTTATTATTTTTTTAATTTTAAAGAAAATTAATTGTTTGGCCAGGGGCAGTGGTGTACCTGTAATCTCAGCTACTCAGGGGGATGAGGCAGGGGGAACCCAAGTTCAAGACCTGCCAGAGTCTCACTTGAGTAAGACTCTATCTCAAAATTTTAAAAAAGTTATAAAGGGCAGGGTACATAGCTCAGTGGTAGGGAATTTGCCTAGCATGTGTGAGGCCCTGGTTTCATCCCTGATTCTGTAAATAAACAAATAAATAAATAAATAATGAAGGAAAATGACCATTTTACAACAATGTGGCCCAACAGAAATACAATTTGAATTTTTCTAGGAACCACTTTAAAAAGATTAAAAAGTAACAAAGGAAATTATTTGTTAAACATACAACATGTAACTTAGTGTATCCAAAATATTATCAATTGAGGATGTGTTTACTTGCCATATTTCAAGTGCCCAAGAGCCACACAGGACTATAATATGAGATAGCACAATTTTAGGATATCAGAATGGAGACCCAGGAAGGAGCACAATTCTCTCATCACACATTGCCCCACATGGTTGTAAATAAGGGTAGGGACACAGTCTGAGAATCAGATTGACTGAACAAAAAGACAAAGGCACTTGAAATTTAAAGTCTATGTAGTAAAAGATTACAGTTCCAGCTCCTAAGGCCACTCGGAGCACTCCTGACCCTGAATACTGGAAGCCTGTCAGGGTTTTTGGCTGTCTTCTGTTTTTGTTTTAGGTTTTTTGTTTGTTTATTTCAGATTATAGCTCTTTACATAAAAAATTCCCCAGACCTCAATTCATTAAACATGTGCAAGCACAGCTGTCTAACTACAGTGGTGCTGCCCCTCCAGCTCGGCCTCCCACCTCTTCCCTTCAACTCACTACTCCTGAGCATTTTGCATGAAATCTCTGGGCTCCAAACAACACATTTCAAAAGGGACTTCCTCTGAATCAACAAATGAAATGTTTGCCTAAAGAATGAAGCATCATTTACATCATCCAATTCTACACACTTGGCTTAGGCAGGGCACATGCAGCCTCAATAAGGTGATCCAGTACCTCTGGATGTCGTCAGCAAGCCTGGCCAAGCGCTGCTGCCGGCCCAAAGGACTGAGCCGCGTCTCTTCAGCCACAGCCTTCATCAGCTGGAAATCAGAGGTTGCCTGGTCAGTCAAGCCTACGAAGTGTCAACAAATACAGTGTGGGAACATGAGCAGACGCTGCGGCCCCAGTCTATCTCAAACACACCTGAAGCTCTTCCATTTAAACTGAATCAGATTCACAAGGACAGTACTGTCCCGTGCAAGCTACATGTCATTAAAGTTGTTCTATTAGCTGTGTTTAAAAAGCCCAAGAGAAATAGATGAAATTATTTCAAGTAATATGAATTACTTAACCCAGTATATTCAATATATTATCATTTCTACATGCATATAAAATTCATTACTCAAGTAGTTTCCTCTTTCTTTGTATTTTGCATTTGCAGCACAACCTTCTTCAGTCTCTCCATGTAGCTCATCACATTTCAAGTGTCCAATAAACTCATGTGGCTCATGACCAACAAGGTGGGCTACAATATGACACTACAACCAAGAATGAGCATCCCTCCATTCGAAGATTAAGTCCTATTTTTCTAACTGCAAACTGATTTAAGCAATACAAATACATAAAAAATAGAAAGTCCTCCTTTCTTAGCTGTACTGTATTAGTTAGATAAACATTACTAGAAGTACTGGAGATAATTATTCAGATTCTAGTATATGGTGAGGATTACCTTATGGAAGCTAATGCAAGAAGAAACTAAGCATCATTTTGGAATCATGCTAACAACATATGACAAAAATCAAAGTCATACTGCTTCCTACACTAGTGAATTCAAAAAACAGAAAAGAGCATGTTTGCTGTAGGAAAATATAGAGAGGCCTACTTTGCAACAAAGTAACAAGTGAAATACATGAGATAAAGGAAATAGATGTCTTTACTACTGGATAAATTCCTTAAAAGGCCCATCCTCCATGAGTTAAATTAGTGCTTTGGCAAGGTTCTGTCCATTGCTAAGGCTCAGAAGACTGTGATTAGGAGCCTGACAGTTATAAAACATAAATGTTACCTGTTAGAAAACAGAGCTCAGGCATCAAGTGGACAATTGGAGCCTCAGTGTTGTGATTTTTCTTGCTTTTCAACAGACTAACAAGCACTGGCTGATTTAGGTCAGATATAGTAATATTATATTGCTATAAAATGCAAAATTAATGAGAAAAAAGGTCAATGTGGAAACAGTGTATCCCTACTCATAAGCAACAAAGAAATCCCCAGATGAATATATAAGCATATCTTTTCAGTGGAGGGAAAAAACAAAAACAAAAAACCCCAAGGCTTTCTGCTCCTCACAACTTATTACTAGAACTTGTCTTTTACATCTGAGGGTCAGTTTTATTCCTTTAATTATCTCTTAAAATGCAACACTATTTTTTAAAAGTCATTACCCTACTTTCTCTGGGTTTCTTCCAGATTAAGAATCTCCTCCAGCTGGTTCTATACATAATCCAGTGATCCCCTGGGGCTAACTGAAAATAAGCATTTCCATTATCTGTGACTGAGACTCACTGCCCCAAGATTAAACAACTGCTTCTAAACTTCCGTGTTCAATCTGAAAATGTCTATACACATGATGAGGGCAAGCGTTATACTGAGTAGATCTCAGATTTCTCAAAAAAGCAAGCCCATCTTTAACATTCAGGCTGGTATGATGTTATAAGAAATCAGCCCAGAAATCCAACAAATGGGAATCTGATCCCCAGCTCTTCCATTTACTTGGACTGTGACACTGGAGATGTTACTCACCTTCCCTCTTCTATGGAATGAGGATAACAGTAGGTGAGAGGTATGCTAGGTAAACCTCTAGCACTGTGTCTGGTTTGCCAACTGTCAATGCATACTCCACTTCATTCCCTTCCTAAACTTGAAGTTCAAACATTCTCATCATCGCAAAAGTTTGTTTTCAATGACAAAGGTTCCAATTAACACCCATTTTCTGTATAATTAGTGACAGAACTAGAATTATAATTTACAAAATGCCTGGGCATTATAATTAAGGATGTAAGATGCATTTTTATATTTTGATAAGGAATTTTAGTCATCAAAATAAATTTAAAAAACAACTCAGAAATCATATTTTAAAGTGGTGAGTACAACTAACGATGTGGATAAAAAAACTTGGAGAAGCCTTTATCAAGAGTCTTTATGCATGACCTCACTGATTCAGTGCACATGGCATGCTTCCTATGTTCCAGAAACTGCAGGCAATACAAAGACAAAAGAGGCAGAGTCCTCACCTTGACTCATCACCACATTATCTGTAAATGGAGAAGCACAAGTAATGATACGCTAAGCACATGATTTTCCTCATTTAATCTTGACAATAAAGCTGGCGGTTACATGCTATCATCATCCCCTCCATGGATGAGGAAACGCTGTGAGAGATTAAACAACTTTCCCAAGCATCATAACTGGAAGTTAGCCCAGCCCAGGATTTATCCCTTCGATCCGCTTGATATACCTCTTAGAACTGTGTCCCTGGGCCAGTATACCAGGGAAGGCTTCAGGAGAAAGGAAGTGCCAAGAAAAGGCCTTGAAGAATATGTGGAAGTGGGACAGTCCCTGGAAATACCTCATGTAAAGCTGGGCAATGTACAGCAAAAAGTTATATTTAGGCCTGCCTTGCATGCACAAGCCCCTGGATTCAATCTCCAGCACCACAAAAAAAAAAGAAAAAAAAAGTTATATTTAGATGGAGCACAGAAAAGAAATCCATCCCCAAAGTTGCTGCCTAAGGCAGATTTTACCCTTTTCCTTGCTCAGTTTCTTAGCTTTTAAAAATATTCTTTTCATGATATAATAATGTCTTCCACTTTGAAAACTGACTACATGCTGTGTGCAATGGTGCTGGCCTATAATCCCAGTAACTCAGGTGGCCAAGAAGGAGGATCACAAGTGCAAGACTGGCCTTAGCAATTTAGAAAGGTTCTGTCTCAAAATAAAAAATGAAAAGGGTTGGGGATGTAGCTCAG